ATCACCATCACGACCACCAACACCATCATCATCATCACCACCATCATCGTCATCACCAACACCAACATAATCATCGTCATCACCACCACCACTATCTCCATCATCATCATCATCATCGTTGTCACCATCCCATCACCATCATTATCATCACCATCACCACCATCACTATCATCATTGTCATACCACTACTATCACCATTATCATCATCATTGTCATCGTCATCAACGTCATCATCATCGCCATCACCACTACGATCATAATCATCATCATCATCATCATCATCATCATTTATCCGGATTTGCTGTTTCATACCGGCCTTTAATTGAGACCTGAGGTAAATATTTATTCTCGGATAAAGTTATTGCTTTTATTAGGAAAACTCTCTCTCTCTAATTATACTCAATACTTTTCCATGGAAATCTTCCTTTACTTCTGGTTTCAAGTAAAATAACTGATATAGTGTTGTGTGGATCAGTAAATTAGAAAACTGGAAATAATAATAATAATAATAATGATAATAATAATAGCAAATTCTACCGTTCTGTCTATGGCCATAAATTACACCCGACAGCAAGACCTCTGATCGGGAGGTTTTCAGTAGCATGGAACCACCTCTTAATTGTTATTGTTCCCAGGTCTACCCTGACACTGTGTGGTAGCACCTGATAGGGCCCCAACAATGGGTAAATAGTGAACCCCCAAACAAGAATCAACAGTACATTTTAAAGTAAAATTACCAGAAATACATTTTTATAGAAAAACGACAATCAACACTAAAAAGTATAAAAATACATTTTTGTAATGAAATTACAAGCATATTTTTAAAAAACTGTCAACAAAACATTTTATCATCTGCAGACTATATATTTAAAAAACATACATTTTCCTTGAAAGTCTAAAATTATGTACAAAATATCTATAGTTAAAGGTATAAAGTTGCGTGCAAAATATTTAGATTTCGGCCTTAAATAACCCATAGAGGTGTTGATATGCCGCTAAACAAAAACAAACCTACTGCAACTCCCAATCGTTTGAATATCCGACAAGGAATCGTTCAAGATGACTTTTGTTAATCCTCCTGTTTTATCCGTCCTTAATCCTTCTTTGGCTTGACCCAAACAGTAGTAACTATGGATACAAAATAAACAGCAAAATATTTAATCATTTATTTTACATGGATGACCTCAAACGTTTTGCTAAAGACGACATTGAGTTGAAAGGTCTTCTCACTACGGTAAAATGTTTCTTTGCTGACATTGGTATGAACTTCGGATAAGATAAATACGCAAAAGCAATATTCAATAAAGGGAGAATTACCGAAACACACTCAATAAATCTCAATTTTGTCACAAAGATTAGAGAACTGCCAGGAGTCAGTGAATAAAATGTCCAAATGAAGGTGAAATTAAGAAAAGAATACCACAGTCGTGTGCGTCTGGTGTTAAATACCGAATAGAATTCACAAAACAGAATATCAGCCATAAATACTTTGGTTGTCCCTGGGGCGCAATACAGTTTCAACATCCTTAACTGGAACGTAGCCGACATTAAAGGAATGGATAACAAAATGTTGTTTGTGTCTAAATATAAAAGCGGCAGAGGATTAGTTAAACTAGAACTGTCTTCCAAAGCTACAAGAATCGGTCTTCAAAGATAACTGCAAACTACAGATGACTGGATGATGATCTACATCAAGGAAAAATAAAGAAATAAGAAACTTTATTCAGCAATAAAGCAAACTAACAATTTCAAAAGGGAATTCAAGTGGATGAAGAGGGCAAGTAAACCATAATCCACCTACTTCAGTGGCAAAGAACCTAAAAAAAAAAAGACAAAAGCAAATGCAAGAAATTGGTATGAACATCACCTAAACCCACTTACGGGACTTGTAACAATTGTATGGACGTTACAATCAAAGCTAATAGCTCTGACATAGTTGTCAAAGACCACAAAAACAGAATGTGTTTTCTTATTGACATGGCTTTTCAGGCAAAATGTAATGTTGTTCGAAAATCTTCAAACAACTATAAAAATACAAGGATCTTTAAGTAGAAATCTAAACAAAATGTGGTACATGAAGACGTCAATAATTCCAGTTGTGATTAGAGCACTCGGATTGATTGCAAAATGTTCTGATATACTCATTGAAGAGATCGCTGATAGCCCATAATTTAAAGAAATAAAAACAAAAAAAAAAACTGTTATCAGAATTACTGCTCACATCTTACGAAGTGCTTTATCTATGTAAAATGTCCGTGATCTTAGGTTGTTTTATTCTTATTTTCTAAATAAATGTATTTAGTGAAAAATGTTATGGCATTTCTAACCTTATGTCTCTGGTTGGGATCCCTAAGGAAATGAGTATGCAACAACAACAACAACAACAACAACAACAATAATAATAATAATAATAATAATAATAATAATAATAATAATAATCCTTTGAGCCTTCAAATGGATCACCAGTATTGGTCAGAAAACCGTATCTAGTAGCTGTAAAAAAAAAAAAAAAAAAAAAAAAAAAAGAACGTGTCAGAGGATTTCGCTCTTCTGTCAGTCTCGATAGTAAAGCTGGAAAAAAAAGTGAAAAAATTAGATAAATATTTTTACCGTTCCAGTGCACTGAGGAAATTGTGTTGCATGAAAGCGACAGTCACGCCACTTGTTATCGGAGCACTAGTCTCACAGTTTTGAAAAGACTACGGAGAAAAGCAATAGAACAATTAGAGACCAAAGGAAGAATTGATCCGTCCGAATACTGAGGAGAGTCCTGGAGTATTGAAGAAACTTGCTGTCACTTAGCCTCCAGTGATAATCACAAACGTTTTTTTGTAGACATTTTAATGATAATAATAAAAAGTGTCATTTGTACTCATTATTAGTGAAACGCTTGCAAGAATTCCGAAGAACACTTTAAAAAACTTGATATCTGTGTTAAATTCGAAAACATAGAAACGAAAGCATCACTAAAATCATATAAAATACTGATGTAGGGCTGAGAAATTGAAAAGACTTGCTGTCACTTGATCTCCATTTACAACTGGTGTGAAAATAATGATAATAATAGTAAATTGGCCAAAATGCTGGAGAATTTTGGTCACTTGATTCTTAGCGAGAGGGACCGGTTATTGGTGTGAAAATTCATTGAAAAAAATAAAGATAAAATAAAAAAAGTTAGATTAACTAATAATAGTATTAGTAATTTTTGTTGTAAAATTATCAGTAATAATAATAATAATAATAATAATAATAATAATAATAAACACAGCATGATGGAGTGGGCAATATCTGCGCTGGAAAATCTGCAACTCGTACGGGAAGAAAACTGCAAGAAGCTGGTATGAACATCACCCAAACTTGGCTGCTTTATGATCACAACATGGGATAAGTTTGGCTCTGGATTTAAGCGGTCACTTCATCTACCAGCTGCGGTGTTGGAAGTCTTGAACGGCTGGGGAGGGTGTTGTACGATTACACTTGGGTTCCATTCCTAAGCTGCCCCATTTATATAAATGCTATATACAAATTAAATAGCCTGTATTTCAAAATCCGAAAAAAATCTCAAACCCAATGCTTTTCCGATCCCAAGAATTTATGATAAAGGATTCTTAACCTGTATAAATAATGTATTCGGACGATAATTACATAAAATAAAGAAATAAAAATAGAGAATATAAAAATGGTCTCTTCTTCGCGTCCGTTCGGGACACGGGCGTTCATAGCTCTCCACTCTCTCGTGTGATTCACAACAGTTTTTCTCCCTTTGCTAAGTATAACGCCATTAACACAAGTTTGTCAGGTAAATAGCTTTCTGCCTGCCCCTACCTTTCTGCCCTCAATATGCCCCCATAAGTTTTCCAAGCCGTCCTTCCTCGTTATGTGTCGAAGGAATTTCATCTGTCTTTTCCTGATTCTGAGTATAAGTGTTCTTTCTGTTGCCATTTTTCTTAAGACTTCCTTGTTGATTAACGCTCCATCCATGGAATTTTCAGTATCCTTCTGTGGAACTACATTTCTATCTTTACTTTGTCCATCCTCTGTGGTGAGATTGTTCAGCATTCACAGCCAAATAACAGGATGGATATCGTATAGCAACCCAACATTCTTTTTTTTTCTGTGTGTAACGGAATTTGTCCGTTTCTCAGCTCCTTAACTTTTAACTTGTTCCTTAACTTTTGCAATGCCTCTTTCGCTAGTCCAATGCGTGTCCTTTTGCATTTGTAATGAAAAAAAAAATGGCTAAAATCGGAAAATTGTAGGAAAAAACTGTAAAAAATATGAGAGTTAAAAATATAATGAAAAAACGAATGCATGTTTTTATAAATGCATGTGTATGTTTAAATAACGTGCACATATAATTGTATACATCTATATACATACACCCAAGTATTTCAGTTAAATCTTATAAGTATATTTTGCATGAAAAGGTATTTATTTTGCACAAGAAATATTAATTTCTGAGCATAACGTCTTACCTTGTCAATACATTTAATTTAGTGGTGGATATTAATTGCATAAACCGAATATTATACAGCAAATATGTCAGATCAAAATTCAGCTCATAGATTTATTAACCGACTTTTCTAATATAAAAGAGTGTGTAATCATTATTTTTAGAAAATGCCGAATGTGAAAAATTGGGAGAGAATATTTAAAAGATGGCAGAAACATACAATGGGAAAATGGAGAAATGAGAATAAAATAGGGGTTTGAAAATAAGAACTTTAAAAATGCATAAAATAAATTTTTTGATGAATATTAGGGTGTAGAAATATTCATTGAGTCAGAGAAAATAGTAAATGAATCTGTCTTCATGAAAACCAGACGACACAATCTTTAGGCGTCCGCAAATTTTTTTAATGCAAGATGGAAGATGATTTAAAAATAAGGGATGCCTTAAGGATATTTTTTTTATTTTTTATTTTAGCACGAAACTCGCCCAAACAGGACAGGGATTATATTGCGTAACGAAAAAAATGTTAAAAGCATTTGAATAAAACACTGCAAGCGAGGAAGAGAAAGTGAAGGAGAGGACGGGTAAATAAGAATGTCAAAGAAAGAAAGAAAGAAAGAAAGAAAGAAAGAAAGAAAGAAAGAAAGAAAGAAAGAAAGAAAGAACGGACGACAAGAAAGAAAGAAAGAAAGAAAGAAAGAAAGAAAGAAAGAAAGAAAGAACGGAGAGAGTGGAAGGAAAGAAACTGGGAAAGATTGAAATGGAATAAATACGTAATAACAGAACGAGAGGAAAATAAAGTAAAACGTGGTAGAGAGAGGAAGGAAGATGGAAGTCAAAAGAATTAAAAAGAGAGAAAAAAAACGAAACGATAAAAAGGATGATAAACCTAAGGTAAAAACAAACGTAGGAAGGGACAAAAAAAAAAAAAAAAAAAAAGAATTAAAAAGGATAAAAAAGTGAGAGATAGACGAAGACGATCGCAGAGGAAAACAGAAGCAGAAAAAATATTGAAATAAAAAAGCAAACGAAAAAAAAAACAAACAAAAAAACTCGGGGGAGAAAGACCAGTTCGTATGTATTTTAGCATATGGTAGTATATTTAAACCGTTTTATCATTATAGCCATCACGAAGATGCTCATTATCACCATGGGTGGTGCTAGTAACCATCTTTTGAAGGATTTGAAGGGAAAGGTTCATGTGAAACGCCAAGAAATATAATATAGCATTTAAGCGATGAGAAAATGGTCGCGACAAAAATGCTAATAATGTGCGTATGCTTAAATGTGCAATATATATATATATATATATATATATATATATATATATATATATATATATATATATATATATATATATATATATATATATATATATATATATATATATATATATAATAAATTAAATTAACTGATTTAAAAATATGGTTTAATTTATAATATTTATGCTCTGTGAATTTACATTGAGCATTGTTTTGTAAAAATTAAATAATAAAATAAAAAACAACACCGGATTACATATCTTACTGTTCTTCCCTTTTTTACTATAACATACATACATATATATATATATATATATATATATATATATATATATATATATATATATATATATATATATATTATTTTTAAGACATTTTTATGTTTAACATTCTTTTATAGATACAAATATTTAAGTAAATGTTCTGTTTATAATAAACAGTATTAAACAACATTTACCGGCTTGAATGTCCGAGAAATTTTCAGGTTGTTGTTTAATACTGTTTATTATTACTGTTAAACATAAAAAAAATGTCTTAAAATAATTGTCGGACTTTGTCCATTTCATAATATATATATATATATATATATATATATATATATATTCTATATATATATATATATATATATTCTGTTTATACATTATTTTAATAGATACAATTTATTTAAGTAAATGATCTGATTGTTCGAGAAATTTCATAGAAGGTATGTACATTCGTCAATTGAAACGGACCAGTAACCCCAATAGGAATCATCATTTGATCTGATGTTAAACATTCAGCCACAAAGAAGCGTCTGGTTAGCAAAATCCGAATTAAAATTCAGAAACAGCAAATCTTTGAAGATCTTTCTCGAACGTTCATATCTGCTCACAAAACGTACTTTAGCGTAAACATTCACAACATTAAGAAATGGATTAAATTCAACAATTATTTAATATATTTTCTGTTTATATATTATTTTAATAGATACAATTTATTTAAGTAAATGCTCTGTTTTTAAATAAACATTGTTAATTACATTTCAGGTCGGTAAATGTAATTAATAATGTTTATTTAAAAAACAGAGCATTTGCTTAAATAAATTGTATCTATTAAAATAACGTATAAACAGAAAATATATTAAATAATTTTCGGACTTTACCCATTTCATAATATATATATATATATATATATATATATATATATATATATATATATATATATGCGTGTGTGTGTGTGGCGTGTACGCGCATGCATGTACCAGTATTATTAGAATATTTATTCATTTTAAACTTTAAAGATATTTCCCCCCTTATTCGTGTTGTACTCTGCTCTTTAATAGCTTATATATATTTTTTCGTGTATTACAATTAAATGATGCATGAAATGCACTGTAACGTTTGCATTATTTGATTGTAATACACGGAAAAATATCCGTGTATATGAACAGATTATGCTAAAAATAAGCAGACGTTTGCAATTTATTTAATCAGACATACCTAAAAGAGAATTTGCTGCCTAAATGCACAATATATATATATATATATATATATATATATATATATATATATATATATATATATATATATATATAAAAGGAATAAATGTATTTTATTTATAATTTTTTTATTTTATAACATTTACCAGCAGTTAGAAAAAATGTGAAGATTTTTTCGTTTGAGGAAATTAAAGAATAAAATTATTTACATAAATTTAGCTAAGAGAATTTTCTACGACAGTTTGTTCTTAAACAAATATAAAAACCGTCGATAAGGGTAGTTTTTCACTAATAATAATAATAATAATAATAATAATAATAATAATAATAATAATAATATTATTATTATTAATAAATGATAAATAATAATAATTATAAATAATTAAATAATAATAAATAAATAAATAATAATATATAAATAATAAAGAAATAAGAAAAGAATCTGAATGGGGCAAATCTTCCCTTCCGTTATCAAGAGTTAATTGCAAAATGGATATTTATACCATATAGATATTGCACTTTTACACAGTTTAATAGAAAGATGACGTTATGTTATTTTGTTTCTGTGGAGAAGGCTTGCTTGTCATGTTTTGGAACCTCAAACATTAGCACAAAGGGCAGGCTCACTCCCTTTTTAACCTCTTGTTGAAATTTTAAGGGATATCTTTTTACTAATCTCGTATTTATACACTGCTGTACTTTGCATTTCAGTTCATGTATGTACAGTACCCAACCCCTACCTTGGAACTGAATCGCTAAATTCGAAGAGGATCTTGCCATCAGCGAATTGCCAACTACGCTTAAATTTATCCTCGGTTGGACTAAACAGCAAAATGTTCAAATCATTTATTAAACTAAAACCACTTTGTAAAATATATTCCAAAAGTGTAAAATGTAAGCAAAAAAGATGTTGACGAAACACATATCTCTAAGAACAAAAGTATTTTGAAAATATGTATAAAAATAAATAAATAACCAGTTTAAATGCAGTCAAAGCCATCAAAGTCTGAGTCATCAGATCCTTAGAGCAGTGATTCCGAAATGTTTTCTAGCAGTCACCCACTTCGCCTCCCAGGTCATATCCTTACCACCCACCTCTCTGTTTTGGTATTAGAAAAATTCAAAATAATCTTACAATGCAAAAATGCATTTCGATGATATGAAGTAAGATGCCGCCAGACAAACCTCGGTGGCCATATCGCTACTTCTATAAACCTAGAATATTAGCCTCTGCGGACGTCTTTTGTCTGATCTGTTTGGCGTCTGGCGCATCTGGCGTGCCATGTCCAAATAGCATCAGCAAGATGAAAAGAATTAATTGGTTCTAATGGTACCTTGCCGTCCCCTTCAACAACTTTATTCCAATCTAGATTTTTTTGCAACACGCTGACGCGTGTTGAAATACTCATTTGGTATTGTTGAAGTTAAAAACTCTACGCTTCATTTTAATTTCGCAAACCAATCGATGAAATTTGAAACATTTCTTACTCTTGAGCATGCAACATACAACAGTCCACGCATAAATATTTCTTTCTGGAGCCAAATTTCAACTTTTGAAGCGTTTGGCCTTCTCATTTGTTTATAGTTTTCGCAGGATGAACTGGAAACTGGATTCTTGCTAAAAAAAAAAAAATGGTGTTTGCACAGTTACGAAAACATAAAAATTAGTCAAAATCGAGTTGTTTTCGCTCGAAAACAACCGATTTCAACAATTTTAAGCAGCTTACGTAAAATTATATTTAAAAAAAATGAATATTGTACTTTGTACTCCATTACCTTTTTACCCTTCTCCCCGAAATTTGGTTTCGATTGTTCAATGCATCGCTATTTTAGAAGGTCTGATATATATATATATATATATATATATATATATATATATACATCTCATATTCCTAATCACCCCTGGATCTTTTCCTGTTCCCAGAGAGTGGATTTATTCATTTTTGGAATCCTAACCCTAGAAGTAAATTTTAAATCATACTTATTATAAAACCCAGGTTGTGTATGTCTGTTCGTTTATATATTGGATCGGATTTCCTACATTTTTCAACCGATTTCAACAAAACTTCACAGGACTATGTAAAATTACCTTGCGGTGGTTCTGACAGCGCCAAAAATTGAAAAACACAATTGTTTATGCACGAAATCAATTTGAAAACACGATTAAGAGGCATCGTGAGAATGAAAGAGGTACAACTCATATCGAGTTATACTTATTATAAAACCCAGGTTGTTTGTGTATGTGTGTGTGTTCGTTTATATATGGGATCGGATTTCCTACAATATTTCAACCGATTTCAACAAAACTTCACTTTTTTTTTAGCAGATAGTGTTTCTTATTGTCATGCACACTTTTTTCTTTATTTTTACATTCAGAATGCTTTAAAAATTCCATTTACAAGACAATTGTTTATAATAAAATTCTATTCAATCGGTAGACTCATAACGATTGAAAACAATGTTTTTGTTTGAGTTTGGGTTTGACCAATTCGTAAAAAAAAAAAAAAAAAAACTAATTAAGACATGCGTGTCCGTCAACCTTAAACAATAATCTTTGTCAATTTTATTTTTCAGTCTTTATGATGGTCGATACTTGATCTATCTCTTACTGTTACATCCCCGGGCAATGCCGGGCTCTGCTGCTAGTTAATGATAAGAAAGGTTCGTTTATGGAATGTACCGGTACCTCCACTCGAATGGAATATGACACAATATTTGCATTGTAAGATTATTTTAAAGGCTGAGTTTAAAGAAGGAGGTCCCTCGCGTACATAAGACAGTGGCAAATCTACTTTTGTCATTTTCACTTTTTGGAACGTCTGCAGTAATAGAAATAAATCCTATCTTGGAGTCTAATATCTATGGGAATGGTCTCCTGGAACAAAAATGTTAATTTATTTACTATTGAAATATTTTGAATAATTCATTTAATGTTTGTCATTGGTTTGCCGAGTAAATAAAACAAACATATTTCTGAGATGAGGTATTGTAACTATTTACACTATTTACATTGTTGGCGGGGTAAGAAATGCAACATTCTCAGTGGCTTTACTGAGTGACCCAGGAATGTGATGGTTATATGTCAGGCCATTTCAAGAAATAAACATGGGAAGAACCTCTACACAAACGTCATCGAACCAATCTTCAGAAACGGCAACATAGAGATTGCCTATTTTCGGTTCGGTTCGAAATTCAAACAAATATCACCTGAAGAATGTCCGGAACATACAACAGTCGAAACGTTGTGAATGTGACAATAAAGATGAAGACAACAGTTCGAACAATGTAAATAGTGTAAATAAATATGGATCTAACCAACGCCTTTATCCACTGTGCCATGTGTCTTCAAGGACACATGGCACAGTGGATAAAGGCACTAAATAAGGCGTTGGTTAGATCCAGTGACAGGACCCAAAGAGTGTGAGTTCAATACCCGTTTAAGACAGTGGAGAACTTTCAGAGGGAAATTAGCAGGAGATAACTGATAACTGACATTCATTAAACATGGCACGTAGAAATAGAACAGTCTACCCCAGTGAGCGAAATAAAGGGTTCAGTTCGAAATTCCAACCACCCGAAGAAGGCCGGAGCGTGATAAATATGGCGACAAAGATGAGGACAATAGTCCGAATAATGTAAATAATGTATGTAATAGCTCATCTCAGAAATATAGACAGGCTTTTAAACATACCTTCTACTTAGAGTAAGTAAATGCATAAATAATAGCCATATTGAATATTTGGGTTGCATTTAAACAGTGGCTAACAAAACTGCAAACGTTGAATAAGTCGCCTACTTAAGCAGCCATTTTTTGCGTATTTAACTTCAGTAACACGAAGAAAGCATTAAGAATATCTTGAAACACCTGAAAAAGTAGAGGGAAAATGAGAACGAGGTAAGAAAAATGAGGATAGATAGATAGATAGATAAATATGAAGAAGATTGACATAGATAAATAGATAGATAGATAGATAGATATGAAGAAGACTGAGATAGATAGATAGATAGATAGATAGATAGATAGATAGATATGAAGAAAACTGAGATAGGTAGATAGATCGATAGATAGGGAAATAGATCGATAGATATATAGCTTTGAAGAAGACACACACAGAAAGTATTATATATATATATATATATATATATATATATAGATAGATAGATAGATAGATAAAGTGAGAGGCACTAGAAAGTATTATAGATGTTCTCTTGACATTCCGTAATATAAACTCTCTAATGTCAAGGTTCAAAGTTGAGTACGAAATTCCGTTTGGCCAGAAACCACACCCAAATTTTAAGACGACAGACGTGAGTCATCAGGTTTTCGTCAGCCCACACCGGAGTAGATCATCGAATAATAAACAGCCTTTGAAACTTGAAGTCAGCTTTTATTAACAGCAACAACAAAAGCCAAATATACTTATTTGCCATTTCTTTTACATTATAGACAATTTCATATCGTACGATATTTAGCAAAATAATGTATCAGGATCTTTTGCACGGGGTGGAGTAATGGATAGCGTCTCGGCTTGAGGAATCAGAGAGCCGAGTTTGAACTCCAGTCGAATCACTTACATGCTTGGGAAAGGTATGAATCCTCTTCTTCTCCATCTAGCTATGGGTAAATAGTAAGGAAGACTGGGTTCTATAGCCTTGGGTGGCAACCGGTCTAGGAGAAGGACAACTCTGAAGTCAAAACCCGCGTAGGGTTGTTTGGGACCTTGTGGCATACTATGTCTCTGTATTCGGCTCTTCTAAAAAGTGTGGTTAGCTTTGCACAAGCCTTCACCATTATAATCAAATGATATGTTGGAGTAGTTTGGTTGTCGGTTTCCTGGTTTCTAAGATGCTTGACCCTCATACGTTGAAATCGACGGGAGAGTCCAATATTGCACAGGGTACTGTCAGCACTTTGAAACTAAAACAGTTTTGATAATCGAGGATTGATGCTATAATTGTATACACTATATTTAAGTTTGAGGCCACTCCTGGTAATTTTTTAAATTGGCCTAAAAAGTAGTTGATTTAACTTTAAATAAGAGAAAATTATTATACATGGTTAAAAAAATAGTGAGACATAATTGTTATTAGAAATTTTATTATGACAAAAAGAAAAAAAACATTTTATGATTAAATTTTGCTCTCGTCAAAATATCCTCCTTCAGCCTTGATTACTGCAGCATAATGTTTTGGTATTCGTTGCAAAAGCTTCTCAATGTATAAGTTCCATTCCATTCTGTTTTCAATGACTGAGATTTTTTTTTTATTTTTCACTTTTTTCTCTCTTCTCTCAAGTTCATCCCATGCTAATTCTGGGGGTAGCTTCAAATTTTTGAAATGGAGTGTATATTAAACGCATTATAAATCATTTTTTTTAAATCATTTCACCCCAAGAAAGGCTTTATTAAGACAAGAGATATTACAGAGTTTGAAAGAATATGAGAAAAAGAAAAACATTATTAAGGAAACAGAACAAAAAAGAAGAGGAATTAAGAAGACGGAAGATAACGATTAACATTGCATTTAAATCAAAATTGATTGGAAAATTAGAAGCCGGAAGAGAGTTCCACATTCGAGAAGTGTGAGAGAAGAAACTGTTAGCATAGGACTTACGGTTGCATCTAGGTCTTTCAACTGTAAAATGATGAAAGTCTAGGTGCCAAAGAGGAAAGCTCATCAGAACAATTACAATGAAAATATTTATAGAAAAGTCACATGGGAAATCATGTTACAGCGGCGGAAAAATGACTGAAGCCGAGATGCCAGGTCAGGACCAGTAACATTGAAGATTCTTCTTTAGATTTTATCAAGTATCTTTAAATACATATCAGAAGCACTAAAGCAGATGTGACAGTAATATTCAATGCATAGGCAAATAGTAGACTATAGATGTGTAAGATAGATTTTGACACAAAAATTGTCTAACACGACACAGTGAACCGACTTTCCTAGCAAACCTTGCAATTGAGTGAATATAATCTTTTCATTTTATGTCAGAGGAAAGATTTACTTAAACCAACAAATTGGATTATGTAAGTTTGATTAGTCCACCGTAACGATAATGATGCTTCAAAACGCAAGTTATAGAATAACCCGAGCAATGGCATTCGAAAACATTCAGAAGAGCTTGGATCATACACAGATCACGGTTGTAGTGAATCAGGTTTTGTCTTGTAACTATAAGGAAGGGCTTAAAATAGAAAAAACGAAAATATTTTTGATGTATCCCAATAGAACGAAGGAAGATGATTGACCTTAATGAAAATAGAAAAACGAAAATACTTTTGATATATCCCAAAAGAATGAAGGAATATTATTCACCTTAATTAAAATAGAAAAACGAAAATACTTTTGATACATCCCAATAGACTTAAGGAATATTATTCACCTTAATTAAAATAGAAAAACGAAAATACTTTTGATATATCCCAAAAGAATAAAGGAATGTTATTCGCCTTAATTAAAACAGAAAAACGAAAATATTTTTTATCCCAAAAGAATGAAGGAATATAACCCAAAAAATAGAAAACGAAAATACTTTTGGTATAACCCAAAAGAATAAAGGAATATTATTCACCTTAATTAAAATAGTCTCCTCGAAACATTTTATAGTTATTGAATTATTCTAGCTTGCTGAACAGAACACGTCTTTAATGTATAGTTTTTCAAACTACCCGAAACACATTGGTGTCAATCAAAGACAGCAAGCAAAGAGTCTGTTTCCCGTTTTAAGCACAAATCGAAGATTCTAGTGAAATGCATTTTGGGACTGGCAACCGCAAACAAGCCCGAAAGATTCAAAAGTTTACGTTTTCTGGATTCAGGTGTAATCAAATGTTTTGTTTATTTACACACTGAAAAAAGACTTGAACAAACGGCTGTATTTAATGTTATTACAACTCAAATAAAGAAGAAAATTAATTTAAAAAAATGTTATTTTTCCTCTGGCAATCAACTCTGTAACTAGCTTCACATCTGACAATCACAGAAAGTCTTTTTTTGCTGGCTCTGAAAAATTGGATGTAAAATGATTTGTTCGCGGACACTTCAAAGCCAATTCAGACTCGTCTTTGTCACTGTCAGATGTCGCGTTCACCAGTGTCATGTGATCTCTACTTCATCCTATCAGATTCTTTCACTTTCTAGACGTGTATTGGTATTTACTAAGCTCAATTTAGTACGACATAAGGTTACAAGTGTTGAGAATTGAACTAACTATAGTATTTATATTATATGCGGGTACTGTAGATGTTATGGCGCAGAAATTGAACTCGACTCACCAAGTTCAAATTCCAGCCGACTCAGTTGCATTCACTTTTACACTATTGCCCCTGGGAAAGGCATGGGTATCTTCTCCCTCTAGCTATGGGTTAAATAGCGAGGTAAGCTAGGTATCAGATCATTTTAAGAGAAAGTAACCTCTAAACATTGATCCATGGTAAAGTTCCTTTTCAGAAAGATATTTAGTAAACAGAAGCGGCTTTAACACACTGTCATACATTGATGAATCCAATGAAAACGAAATTCATTGTCAATGGCTCGGGTCATTTTTACAAATTGATATTTGTGTTTAAAATTTAAAGTATATCATGGTTGAAAAAAACTCATTATAATAATAATGACACTGAAAGAAATTTCTAGAATAATTTAAAATGAAGAAAGTTTTCATCCTTGTCAAAATGGTTGGGAGATTCAGATCATCTTAGACAACAAAACGATATTTGTTACTACCACAAGAAACGCTTTCCCTGGGAGTATTGACGGACCTCAATCGGAACGGGATGGGTGGTCTGCTCCGACAGGCAAGTTATCGTACCTATTTTACTAACATAACAACATTCTATCCTATGAGCAATTATTTACTAGACAATTTATTTTTTAATTATTTTTAAGATAATTTTCCATCTTATTTTATTCACGTGTCAATTTATTTCGTGTCTGCAATTAAAGCAAAATAAATGACCGTAATTGTAATCTTTCTATGTATTTAGTTATGTTTTGTTTTGGAATATTGTTTAGAAGCGGCGATAAAATCGTTTCAGAAAAAAAAAAAACAAAAAAAAAAAAAAAACACTGGGTACGTTGCTGCCTGGAAACAGATTTTCCGGATTGAACCACAAGTAGCGAATAGGATACACTTAAAAGTTCAGCGTTACTCAATTTTTGAATTAACGTTCATCTGATAGGGCAAATTAATCCAGCATATTTTAAAAGTAAAGACTAAAAGTCATAACAAAGGTCGACCTTTCAGGGGTCGTCCAAAACCAATTCACACCATTCTTTTATAGCCTCGAGTGTCACTAAAATTCATAGAAGATGTAATTAGTTTCTAAGACAGAATCTAATACTCAGTTCGTACGAATCCTGTAAGCAACTCGTAGGGGCATCGCATTTACTCTATTGGGCAAGATAGCACGGCGGAGGACATTTATTTTCCTTCTTCTAGACTGGTTGCCACCTCAAGGCAAGGGAACCTAGTTTGCCCTGCTGGAGGAAAATGGATCCCTGCCTTTTTAAGGGCATTAGCGCAAATCGAGCCGGGATTGAACTCGGCACATCAAATTCATTTTATCGGCACCTCCGTTGAATTGTTCATTATCGAAAAGAACAATTTGGAAACCATTAAGTTTAAACCCACTTCCTTTACGGATTCAAATATTTTAGGAATATATCGACAAAACTCAAACACAATATCACAGAGAATATTATTTGTGAAAGATTGCATATCACAAGTTTTTTTTAATCGTTTCTTAACAAGCAAAGCGATAACAGCCACTAGGATGCGAGGGGTTTATTGAGAGTGAAAGAAACAGAGAGAACAATAAGAGAACAGGATTCAAGGAGACAGAAGATGATGTATAACAGAAGAGAGACGTGCGATAGTAAAATAGAATAAATACCGTGAACGTATTTATAGAAAAGGCACAAGGAGGCTATGCTACGACGGTGGGAAAAATGACTGAAGCCGAGATACTAAGTCAGGACCAATAACATTGCAGATTCTTCTTTGGCTTTTATATAGATTATCTAAATACATAGCAGAAGCACTAAACCAGACGCGACAGCAATAATCAATGTTGGACGAATAGTAGATTTATAAATGTGCAAGATTCTAGTTAGAAAAAATGTCTCGCACGACACAGTGAACCAACGTTTTTTAGCAGCAATTGACTCATTCAATAGCAATGAGACCTAGCTGCCAATCTAGTACTGCGCTTAAATTCGTAAGTCGAGGTATCAAAGAGGAAACCCCATCAGAACAAATACCGTGAAAATATTTATAGAAAAGGCAGAGGGAAGCCATGTTACGGCGATGAATTTTAAAGGAAGTGAATGACATTGGAAATTTGCTATTTGGCAATTGATGAAAGAGGAATTCTTTGCAAAATTAATATCTACATTTTAGAATCGATAAAAATGTCCAACAAGGCATCTCATTCGATAGCAATAAAACAATGCAAATATTGATGAGATTTGTATGCAAGAGGAACATCGTTTTAGCAGTAACACTTTCTATTGCACTGTTCTGAAAGAAAAAAGACATAGAATTAGAAATGCAATGCGTAAATCATCAGATATTGTAACAGGCAACATCCTAGATGAGCAAGAAAGGCCGATGGCTGTAAGTAGAGTTGTAAATGACTGTAAAAAAGAACCGAGTCCCAAGCTGATTAACATTTTCTTAGACTATGTTGTTGGGCATTTTTACGGACAGAAGAAATGGACTAAGAACATTCGAAAGATACCTTAACCCATTCCAAACGAATCTATTGCTAGAAAACAACGAGACAACAACCCTTTATATTCCACAAGTGGAAAAATAAATTATATGAGACTGGCCGCTGAAGAACTGAAGCAGCGCAAAAAACGACACGAGATGTGGTAAATTTAACAACTATTTTATCCAAAACTGCGGTTTGATCTGTTTGCTCCCATCATTCCCTAGTGGGACCGGAAGTACTTACAATCATCATCATCATAATCAACATTATAGATGTTGTTATAAACATCGCACTTCCTAATTTAATTCATTTTCTTCTTATTAAGTAATTTCTAACCTTTCCAAATTACAAAATAAATAATTACAAATCAAAGTTTGTTTTGGTTACAGTCACTCACTTTGCGAAATCAAACAAATAATTTCGAGTATGTATTATCCGTCCACTTTGAGTTTGTGCAGTATTTTCTCTTTTATTATTTGTTTGAAAATCCTTGTAATTATCACTAATTGCTTTATTTCTCAACAGTTTATTTTCAAAAACCTGAAAATAAAATATGATTCCTGTTACTTCAGAAATCTCCTTGAATAGTTGTCACAATATATGTCAGTATCTGCTGACTTGATCTTTCCTGCAGTGTTCCAATATTTTTTTTTTATCTAATTCTATTCTAACTCTATCTCCTCTTTTTAGTGTTGGCATATTTCTGGCACCATGTTAAAATTCTTTTCCATTCTGTTTTTTGCCATTTTGTCTCTTTTCCTGATTCGTGTGAAATCAGGGCATCTTGGTAATGACTTTTTTGGATGTAAAGGTAATGTGCTTCTTATTTTCCTTCCCATAATTAATTCTGTGGGACTGGCTCCTGTGGTTTGTATGAGCGTACTTCCGTATGCCATTAATGCTTGAAATGTGTTTGATTGTTTAAAAATCTTCTTAGCTATTTTAACGTCGCTTCTCGATTTGCTTGAAGATAATGTGGACTGGGTGTTGTGTTTAAATCCATAACTGTCTGCAAAATCTTTGAAAGCGTGACTTGTGAATTGACAAGTTCAATAGGAGTTCCCCAAAGTGAGAAGGAAATTTTCAGCTTCCATATAACACACGATTGATTGGCACTACAAAATTACAAGGAACTTTACCAAATAATGAAAACCACATCACTTGAGCAGATTCAGTGTCTGTAAGAACAGAAATGGGTCGCATATGTAACTTGAAAATAAAATAAAGATAAAATAGAGTTGTTAATTTTTCACGCCATGAAAATGTTTGGAAGGACATATCTATTAATACTAGAAAGAGCGATAACAGTTAGTGATCTTGAGGAATCTAATTTCCTGAAAAACATTTTAAGAAAAAGATTTTAGAAATTATCCGCGGTAGTAACGTTAGCTGTTCGGTCAATATTCATTGACCTAACAGCGAATGTTTCCTGATAAGGAAACGGTTAATATTACCATTACTATTACCAAATGGTTAATATTATTCGTTACCATTTCTGTCTTTAGTTATGCCGATATACTCTTATCTGTCTAATATACGTTATAATTTTTAACGCATTAAATAATTTCCCGACTACCCTTTTAATAAAGGCCCCGCTTCATTTATACCATATTTAAAGAAATTCACCCCGATTATTAAGAGCTCCCATTGTATTTGGTACCTTCTACGAGTGTTTTGTTTCTAGCTTTCAAGGGTGCGTCATAATTTTGATTTTTTAAAATTTAAGGACATTTCATGATGTCTGCAGTTTTGAACTGTTGCTACACATATTTTCTGAATAGTGTACGATAAAATGTTGACTACATAAACCATTGATTTTTATGTCTACTGTTATTGTTTCCACTAATTCAGGGAACAGGAAAATTGGTCTTTGAACACATCATTGTTAAAAATCGTTTCCCATTTGATCATATAATATTATTAATAATAATAATAATCACGAATGTGTACAAAACTTTTAACAAGCTTTGAGATTTATATCTGTTGTCGCATGGTAAACGGTTTCACTTCGAAATTATTAAAGATTTGAAGGTGGCATTAGGTAGGAAGCACATACCCACGACATAGTGGATTTGAATACATGAGACACTAAAAAAATCTGTTAATCAATTAACTTTGGTAAGGATTCCGTTAAAATGGTTTCTTTCTAGGAAAATATGTTTTTATGGTGTTTTTTATGAACTTTTGTTTTAATTTTTACGAAAACGATATTAATTATTTTGAAACTGTCTATTTCAGAGAAAATTTTAAAGTGGAAAATGACTTTAAGGTAGGTGATCGATTTATAATAATCGATTTAGAATGAACGTATAATTTGAGTAAGCAAGTAGGAAATTTCTTCCGGAAGACTATCGGCGTAAGACAGGGATGCCTACACTCTCCG